AAGTGAAAGGGTTCACTTCTACTTAGGAGCAACTGTAACAAGAATTAGAAAACGGTAAGGGGAACTCACTGGAGACGTTGTGAATGCCCACAAGTACAGTATGCTACTGCAATAAAAATGTGCACCCGTGGGCTAAAAAGGTAATTACGCTTTTCTGCATATATCTAAATTTCTTATAACACTGAGATTTGCATTTAATATATGGCTTAAGTGAGACTGTCAAATGTTCGGAATAAATAAGAGCTAGAACTAGGAATTGACACCAAGCATTTTTGAAAAAAACTTAAAATTGACCGAAGTCAAGTAAGTTAACTCGACTGCAGGCAAGCATCCCTCGACTAAACATATTGCATGACTGTTAAGGAGAATAACTATTTAACAGATGAGATTAGCTTAAAACTGTTAAAAGTGGTCATAGGTTAAATAGTGGATTGTTTCTACAGCAACGAAAACCTGTTGATTCGATCAAGCAAAATCAAGTAGAAGTTTAACGACCAGTCGATTCCTAGCAAAACTCTAATGACCGCATTGAATCTTAATCCCAAAAGTATTAATCTCAAAGCAATGAGATTCTCACCGGTCACTAAAACTATATTGTTAATGAACGACGTGTAATTTAATGACAGGAAAATTGACATTACTAAATGAAACTGAAAATGATTACACTGCAGTTTGTATAATGATCAAAAATAAAAATAAGCAGACAGACAGTTTTCACTCCACTAAATCGAGAATGCGGTTCAAAAGAAACAAATATATATTTTTGGCAACAAAATTAATCTAAATCATCATCGTCGAAAGGGTCATAGCCGAAATCTAGAAAAAAAATTTACTGAAGATATGAACTACCTCGACGAAAATCAGCATGAAGGTCTGGGGCTCGTTCGCTAGATATTGTACATGTTATGTCCTGGAAAAATAAAAGGCTTATTAGCAACTTACTTCATCCATCATCCCTTGAGATGCATAATCTAAACCCTCATCAACTGGCTGCATCCTTCAAAAGCTCGTAGAACGAAGTATTATCAACTGCGTGGTCGAAATAAATATAATTTTTTAAAGATATTTGAAATTTAACACCATAAAAGTAATAATAGTAGATTTGAAACAAGATCACGCACTAAATATGACAGATGAACTTGAGTGATTCCACCCAGCCGTTCAGACGAAGCAAGCTGCTAGCTTATCTGTTGGAAGGAGACTGCTTTAGCGGTCAGCCATAGCTTTACACTTGTGTCATGTTTTTCTTGACGATTTTGTGGTTTGTTCTAGTTAGATCTTACACAAACACCATACTAAAAAGATATTAGAGGTACATGGCATTGAGTAGAGGACGTTCAAGCCAACCCAACCATAATACGACCTATTTGACACAAGATACACGTGCTCAGAAAGTAGGCAGGTAAAGTTAGAAACTTACAAAAGTCTTCGTCGTCTGCAAGCAACCTTTGACCTTGAGAACAAATAAACAGCAACTAGAACTTCAACCCTCAATTAGTAAAAGCGACTTGATAAATGGAAGCTAAGCTAGATACTGTTCAAATGAACAATAAACCAAGAGCTACTGTTAGCCACGACTTGATGATCACTCTGGCCAATATGTACAGTGTTTAGCAACATATTTGTTAAAACCACTTCGATTTTGTATACAGGGTTCATCCAATGCATGTCAACAGACTATGAATTTGCTGACAAGCAGCCACAACAAATGTTGTGATGTATTATGTAGCTTGTGAGCTCAAAATAGCCGGAAGGGAAGAGACTGACTTAAAGAAACTTACTCAGAAAAGCTTTCCAAAAGGAGATACTTCAAAATTTTATTGAGTAACGATCTTTCTTATACGTAACAACAGTTCAGTTGCCGAACTGTCTCAGAACTCGTTTTTCCAAGATCGCTGACTTAACTTTTGCCGGTTGGTTAGGTCTCGATGTCCAAGGACGGCCTTTTACACAGTTTCATAAAGTCCATAAACATACTATTAAACGTGGCAGGCGTAAAGTTCTTGCGAAACTCGCAGGGTGATGTCTTCACTACTACGAGTAACTGAGCAAGTTTATCGATCATACCGAGCTCATGGAAGTCAGCTTTCTTCATGAGAGAAAGGGCTTCGATAGTGTCATGCCGTAATGGCATGAGCTGCGAGATGAAAGGCATAATAGACTTAGTCCTTGAATTTTCAAATGTTTGCTTCGACATAAAGAGGATAAAACTTATGAATGTTAGAAAAGAGGTCATGAGAACACAAAAGCAGCATCACAGTATGTGAAATGTATATGTAGTTTTATAACAAGGAACAGACAGGAGTTTATCTCTCAGAGTACCAAACTACGACCAAGCTCACCACGGAAGATGTCACGGATATGTAATGCCTAATAACTTCATTGTCCGTAACGCAGTTGTAATCGACGTTCTCAGATCCAGTCAAATCAGAAGTCATGAATGTAAGGGTTCGAAGAAATATTCGTAAGATAGATGGTGTGTCGAGAAGTATATGATCATAGTTTATTATCGGTTGTATGAGGTGTGCGAAATAGACCACCCCAGCTTCATCTATTTTTGGATACTTGAATATGTGTCTTTATCTAGAGATATGTCCAGTAAAACTAATGATGTCATCATCAAGGTAGAAGACTTATAGAACATTTTATTTTGGTGATCTGCTTGCTAACACACTCTCCTTGCATAGTGAGCACTTATTTCCCATTTAAAAACTAATATATTTGTTGTCCTTTAGCAATTTATCTGCGTAGGTTTGATCGTACAAGTTCAGATACTATCACATTTTCGCTTAACTAAGACCCATACCATCATGAGCGTAACTAATTATTAAAATCCTTTTCTCCGCAAAGGAGATGTCAGAATACCAGGTACTATTGATAACAACATCCATCTAATGACTTAGACGGAATACAGATATTGAAGATAGTAAATGTAGAACAGGCCAATATATCTGATCAGCAAAAGAAAAATATAACGTGCATCATAGTGGCTGATAGTCACGATACATAACCAAGTTCCATCCAAGCGATTTATTTTAGTGGGTTATTTACCACTGGGAAACTAAATGGTAGAATTTCAACTGAGTAATATGGTTATGATGGATGAAGCTAAACTCCACTCTTATCCTTAATTTCTACCTTGCACCTGACAAACAACCAAAATGAAGCGGGAATTGTTATTTACACTGTCGTAATCCATGATTCATGACATTTTTCAATCTCTAACACTTTTTCTAGTTTGGACGGAAAATGTAAAATTTGCTACAACGAAAATACCAAATCATCTTGTTACGGACGTGTCAATGTAGAGCACTAAGTTATGATGGAAGAAAAATCACAACATCGCAAAGGTTATACCTCCAATTAATTCTGTAATGGAAACTATTACAAAATATCTACAACTGAGCGATTAAACAAATGAAAACACAACCGCAACTACTGACTACGATACACTTAAGTGACATGACAACGTGGAGTTTATCCCCTGCCGTTATGGTCCCACACGCGAAATAGTACTTCGCCTGTCAATGTTTCTTGCTAAAAAAAACCTATTCTAGACTTGAAGAGTACGGTTACGGCCCAAAAACAGGTAGAGACTTCCACGGTATCAAGCATTTGATCATTTTATCAAGTATTACTCAGCAAATGTACCTTGCAACTAAGTTTGAGGGAATAAGCTATTAGCCTTTTTGATCAAATTCATGGAAAACAATGAAAATCTTCTGTACTTTAATGACTTATTTCACAGTGCTCGGAGTATTGTAGCATCTGAGCCGCTCAAAATGAGAGACAACTCGTAATGTCCTTTACGTATGTATGCGTGCACATGTGTATGTATATATTCGCATCTGTGTTTGCTTGTAAAGCTTCCTTCATGTGTACGTCTTATGAAACAAAAAGCTTTCGTCTCACTCTAAATAAAGTCTTTTTCGCTGTTGGAGTTTTCACATTCAAAGTGAGAACAAAATGCAAGGTATCACGTATACTCGAACCAGAGTGAACAAACTAGTGTCACAGAAGCAAATTTATGTAACTATAACAAGTTCCAGTCACCTGTACAGTAAAAGAGCTTTTTCGTTACACTATTATTTACGTTTGTCCAATGTAACATTAATAAGAATAAGAATCGTTTATGCTTCCACTGGCAATTTTCACTAACTCTGAACTCCAAATACGGACTGTAAAAGCACTGGAAGGGACAATAGTTACGATTAAAGACACAATACTTGAGATGTTTACCCCAAAAGATACAATGTTGGTACGACTCAACAAGACGATTAGTGTTAATACTTCAACTTCATTGATAGTTGTGATTCTACCTACATGTTGGTTCTAGGTAAAATTGTTAATATCTATTTTACATGCGATTTTGCTTTCCTCATGTATCGTTTTCGTTTCTTGAGTTTAATTAGCCATTTTGATTCTGCTTTACTCACTACTCTAGATACGTAAATCGGTAAAATTATACTCCCAGTCTGTTGAAGATATCTTCTCTCGTCAAGTAACTAGTTTGTATTTTTTAAGCGTCTAATTCGAGAATTTATCGTAGCTGTGTTGTAAAAGACTTGTGCTGTATCGATAAATAAATCCCCAAAATAATTAGCTCTGTAAGTTTTCAACATTGGATACTGATCACATCCCTAAAATAGTTAGCTTCGTAAGTCATTAACATTAATAGTGATCATAATGGTTTTATTGGACAAAAGATTAGCTGAAGCGGCCCAGTCAAGCGTTCTCACCATATCAGAACTTATTATGCCATGCATCACACCTCCCCTATCAACTAGCTAATTCCGATATTACGGTTCATGATACATAAGCCTACAGTTAAAACTTAACTTCCCACATACTCACTCACCCTGAACATTTTTTCTATCGGTCTTGAGACTACTTAATAAAAGTCTTGAACAGCCTCATTATCAAATGCTTCCATATTTGAGATCTCTTCACCCTTATTCTACAAACAAAATACTGATATTAAAGAGCAAAATGTTTGCTCCAGCAAAGTTTGAAAGTATATTGTCTAATAATTACTTCAGAAAAATTACACAAAACATTCCTTTTCGATTTTTTTTTACTCATGGGTCGTGTCTCATGAAATAAAATCCAGCTTATAATATGATTTTCAGGCTAATAAAATCCTGTCATTTAACCTTTCCATGAAATGAGAGTTAAATCTTATGAATATGTTTTAAAAGGGGAAAATACACGAAGGTCCATTACACAATGCTCAAATGGTGATCAACACGGAATCACAAAATAAGCAGCGATAACAAATATCATCGTTATCATAGTCCTCTCAAACACTGAACAATGTCTGAAACTTAGCCACACCTGGCATTGACCACTGTATATCGTCGTTTGTAATACAAGAGATTTTCTGAGTTTCGCCCTTATTTACGAAGTTTTTCATCATCTTGTTTGCAACACCCGTCAGTTTATTGTAGTTATTTTTCAATCGCACTTTTCGGAGGGATAAAATCTGTAGTTACAAAAGAAAATACAGAGACTAGTTGAACCCTATGACGTTAGCTGAATTCACTGATGATCTTTGTATGAATGTTTGAACATCAACAAAAAAAGTTTTTTCTATAAAAAAAACTTATAAAACTGGCATTAAGTTCACTTAATATTATTCACTTTTATTTTAATGCATGATCATTTTGAATAAGTTTAGCCAAATTATCAAAAGTTAGAAAACAGTGATTGAATAGTTCCCTATAACAAACGAAAGATATATGAACAATTGAAAATATGTTGAAAGTTAAGGTGAAACAAAAAAATTTACAGTCAGTATTCTGCAATTACTTTACATAAAAAACAGAGCATACTACTCTAAGTTACTTAGACCATTAACTACACTACATCTTGGTCGATAGAATTAGATACTCTTAATCTATATTACTTTTAGTTCACGAGTGATGATATAATTCAATGATTAAAATATATAGTTAGTAGTTTATAAATAATGATTCAATCATAGACTTCTCTGACTTGCAATCTTATGAATTTTACATTTTATCGTGAATTATTTCTTTTAAATCATTGATGTTATCTTTTGTTTACAAACTTCTTGAGTAGAACACACAAATTGATAATTAATGAAAAATCTAAAGTTTCATTGTTAATTGTACATTTGATCATAAGTACTCTAGATGGTAGATACTATTTGAACAAAAATATTAACACATAAATTGAGGTTTGAATAAGAATAATATGAATACTAATGGAAATGACAGATTACTTTGTAATCCTTTTTGAATGATCTTGTCAATTGAGCAAATTACATAAGTTTTCAGCTGTGTGAATTTCATCCAGATTAAATCTACTTGATTTATATCATAAAGATTAACTTGAAGCCCTGTTGTTTGATTTAGATACATTGATTATTATGTTGGAGACGGACGTTTACCATTATTTTGAAGTATAAATCATAAAATATATGGACATAGGTTTGTGAACTAGATGTTCTGTAGTATTTAGTTTTGATTGAAATCAGATGGATGAATAAAAATTGCTAAATTTATTTTTTTTTCATGATCACCACCTTAAAAGTATCTGGGCAGCATCATCGATCAACAGGGAGGACCTGATGCAAATGTGAAGGCAAGGAGCCACAAACCAAGAGCGACATTCCTGAAACTAAAGAACATATGGGACTCAAAACAACTGTCAGCCAACATTAAAGTCAGAATCTTCAATACGAACGTCAAAGCAGTTCTACTGTACAGAGCTGAAACTTGAATTACTGCCACAACCATAATCAAAATGGTACAAGTATTTATAAACAATTGTCTATGCAAGATATTCACTGACCGTTGGTCAGCAACAACCCACTATGGAAACGGACAAACCAGCTTCCAGCTGAAGAGGAAATTAGAAAAAGACGCTAGAGGTGGATAGGATGTATATTGCCTAAATCATCAGACTACATCGCTAGCCAACCTCTAACTTGGAATCCTGAAGGAAAAAGGAAAAGAGGAAGACCAAAGAACACGTTGTGCCGGGAATCGGAAGCAAACACTAAAAGAATGAATATGAAACTCTAAAGAGCTGGAAAGGATTGACTAGGACAGAGTTGGATGTAGAATTTTGGTGAGTGGCACATGCTCCTTCACGAGGGGTGAAAGGCGTAAGTTAGTTAGTACCTTAAAGATGTTTGTGTAGCACTCACAAACTTCAACTGACACTGAGAGCTTAATGGTGTAAATTAAGCAGTCATTTAGTTACCACTGTGAAGAGATGCCCTATTCTGAATCAAGGTGATCTGATACAGGTCCAAACAGGACTTAATTTCATTAGAACATGCGATTTCATGCAATTGATTCCTTTTATGAATTCAAATAGAGCTCTATTTAAGAACATGCAATGTTGGATTTATTTGTTTCTACAGATAATTTTCACTATTTATGACGCATAGTGAAAAATAAAATAGAAAAATAAGAGTATTAACTATTTTGTAATCATAACTACACACCAATTCTACGTATAAGATTACCACTGAAAAGGCTTGAAATAATTTTAACTTAAACTATGCAGTTTTCAAGGGTTTATTCAATTAAGATCTTATAAACATGAATCCAGGTAGATAAATAAAACCAAGTCTGTGGTGTATGCTACTTATGTCGACAGGTATAAGTAGTATGTAGCAACAATCGAATATGGAATGTCTGTTAGCAGCGGACTGAATTGTAGAGAATAGGAAGGGAAACAAAGAACAATTGTAATGAAAACAGAATTAAAAGAATCGTGAATCATGTAAAGGATAACTGAAGAAAGATGTGCAAATAATTTATTTAATGTATGATTTTCATATTCGACTAAAACACTCTTTAGTTAGGGCTTGAACAGTAAATTGTTTTTAACCATCGGAGTTCTCATTCACTACAAGTCTACTGGAAAATTATTATCATTGTAAAATTTTGTTGGAACAACTCTCGTTAGTGCATAAAAAGTGGTTACAAAGCATGATTTAACATACCATATTCTACGTGTTATTGTGCTACAAATCACAAACGTGTAAGCTTAATAGACAATCGTTTCTCGTATTTATCAATAACCTGAAAATTATCAATCCGTTAACAAGAAATATTAGGCATGTACCTCTAAGTGTCAAACACATTTGGGATCACAATTTATCGGGAAGTGTAACTGAATGTTTTGACTAATTTAATTCACCAACACTGAACTATGGCTAATTATAATAGTCTGATTACAGTGAATATATTCTCCGGACTTAATGTCCGACCATTTTTGAAAAACGTAAGCTGATATTGTTTTAAACGCACTTTCCGATCCTGAGTACAGTACTTTGTTCTGGATTTCATGTTGGGACATCCTAGATCCAAAAGTAAACTGTAAAACCAAAGAATTATACTTTAAATTACTATGTAGTTGGCTTTCTAACAACTTTTTGAAGCTGAGACATTTTAAAGGCTTGATTATTTACTTATGCGAAAAAACAATTACTTGACAATCATCTGTATTTCTTGACAGAATTCGCTCAAGATAAAACGCAACTGGATTTCAAAAGTTTCATCAATTTAACTATCAATTTTATTCCACAATAAGTCTTTTAAATCGTGCTATGGTAATTCTCACTACAATTTATATTGATAAGGTTTATAGAGAATATAATTTAGTACAGAATGAAGTGTTGTAGTCATTTCAACACGTTTTGTTGCATAATTTCCAATGAAAAGTTAGTGGTTTAGTGTAAACTTGTATTACTCAAGTTATTACTGCTAACAACCCAAGGTTTCACCATCCTGAAATGTCAGTTATTTACGTTAAAAACTACGCCATATATCACTAAGAACTAACGAACTCATGCAGATGGTTAGTCCCTTGTTATAAAAATCTATATCAAATGTCCTATAACTAATAAAGGCTATGTAAGCGATACTGTTATTAAATAGATTGTTTACTATGGATCATTTTACTATATCAACATAGAAGTCTATATGTAGTTTTCTTGAACGACGAAAAAGTTTAAATAGTCAATGTTTACCTGTTTACGTTTGGCTGAAATTCATCTGAAAGGAAATGTGAAATTTAATTCTTGATTTAATTAACAATACTAAGAGAAATGTTAAGTCTTTTTTTTTCTTTTTCTCTCTTATGTCAAAATTTAGTCTTCTTTCAGTATTCCCATTCTAAAAGATTGGTTCACAACTGTCAAAAAATCTTTTGCTTGAATTGTTCCTAAAAGAAATTCATAACTTCACGATTAACTTCAATGGATTTTGATAAGAACATTCGCAACACATAAACTGGAATTTAAATTACTAATAATTAAATTCGGATTGAATGAATGGTAGTTCGTTTATCACACGATCTAGGGGTATAGAGTATTATTAATCAAGTGGTTAGTGCATTTAATGCTAACGTGGCAATGGTAACGACAAAATACAATTCGTTTTTCGCTGCTTGTGATTTATAGTTTTTCCGTAAGTATTTGCTTTGTTCTTATTCAAATATAGTTTAAAAGGACGCTAGTTCTACTTTGTCAGTCACTTATTTATTACCAATCTTGACAAAGTCAGTTTTTGCTTATGCAAGATAATATGCTTCTTGAGAGCATTCACGCTTTACTTCATTCTCAAGCTTCTCTCAGTCATCATATTAGAAAGACGGGAAACTAATCTTTTAAAAATGAAGATGATTTCACCTAAGACTCACTACCTAATATCAACTACAAACTTTAACTGAACTACAAACAGACAAGCAAGAAAACACAAACTTTCGAGAGCTTAATCCTTTATCATTTTAAATCAACTTGGTAAACTCATGTGTATTATTTTTCTTTCGATCTCAAATTTCGTTTATATGTTTCTGATCATAATTAGTTAATAAATATTTACAGTTGTTCAATTTATTTCATATTAATAGTAAATATGATGTTTAATTAATACTATGCGCAAACATTTACTTGTTAATGAGATTAGCTAACATTGTTATGTATTCAAGCACCTAATTATAACCGACATGTGAATTTTCTTCATATTAATAAATTTATGTTTATATAGTGTAACGCTTTAAAATTGAATTTTTAGAATTACTTGTTCTGCTTATGAATGCGTGTATTTCATTTAATACATTAGTATCAAAGATAAACCACCATTGAAACCTGGAAGCACTGGATGACCGTTTCGTCCTGTCATGAATGTGATTTTTCAAGGATAAAATTTATTATTCAAAACAACATTTACACTTCATTCAATAAAGAGATCAAAAGAAATATGAACAAACTTACCATCATGATGTTTACTTTCTTGAACTGTCAAATAAATAACAATAATTTAAACTTCTTAAAATACTGTATAATCTTTAGTATTCTAGAGGAATAACTTTTACGTCATCTTTCACATTCATTCCAATATATGAACACTATTATTAGGGTTCCATAACAGTTTGTTATGTGAATTAAAAACCTATCACATCAGCTCATGATTAGCTTATTTCATTTGTTCCCCAAAATGCCTTGGCACGACCGAGAGTGGGGAGAGTCTGCTCTCCCTCTCGAAATGCTCTCACATGGCCACGCGTATATAGCCTCTGCCAGGGAAGTCCTACTCACTGCATTCTCGTGGCGGGGGTGTTGTTTACGAAAATGAGAGGACGAAAAGTGAACGTCCGGCGCCTTAGCCGGTTTGATGGAGAGTCCACTTAGGGGAGTTGGAAAACCCTGATTCCAAAATAATGGTGCACATGGACTCCACTATCCTGATGGAACAAATGGTGTATGGACCAATCGTTGGTCACCGGCTACCATGGGACTGCTTCTCCTTACGTTGCTCCACTGCCTTGTGGATCAGACCTTCAGGTCAAAGGCTCCGGGTGTGGACCCTTGAGAAAACCACCTGCTTTGGCCTAGGTACCCGGGAAGCATCACAGCCCTCACACATATCGAATGAGATTTGTGTGGCGCATATGTATTTGGTGCTTCCTTGTACCAATATCTATGTGTTAAAATAAATAAATAAATTATTTCATTTGTAAGTAGTATTTGTCACGGTTAATTTAGAATTTCATCAGCTGGTTAGTATTTTATTTATGAATTGATCATTGGAAGTAAATAAAATTTCGAAAATATTAAATTTTTAAACTTTGATTAGTAATAAGAAATGGTTAGCTGTACAGATACTATGAAATTTATCTCCACTATTATTAGGATGGAAGAAGTATTTATTTATACAAAGTTGACTATGAAAAAAATTGATCAACTCGATTTTTAAGACTTGACGAAATGAAATATTAAATCAGTCAGATGATAGGATCCATGATGCTTTTGTGTCATAACCTTCCTTCAGAAATGAAACTTGTTGCTGCACTACATTAAATGTATAGACATTTCATAATTATTAACACAATGTAACGGAAGTTGCAATACATTACCAAGTTACGCATGTCTAGTTTGTAAATTTTTTTTAGAAAAATTATTAGAAACGAACTGTTACTCACAGTTACTAAACATAACTATTTAAATTTAAAATTTACAAGAAAAATGTTAGATTTTTTTAAAATGACCTTGGATATTTTAAATCACCAAGTTTATGAAGTTTAATTTATGGAGTTGAAACAATAATAAAACATCACATATTATTAAAGTTTGATAAGTTTTAAGGACTCAAATATTAGTTTGAAATGTGTAACTTTTGAAAATGAACACTTGTACTAATCTAGGATTCCAATTAATATTTTGTACGTTTTACTTTGAACAGGAATACATATACAAATTATTGTGTCACAGAACTCATCATTTTCTGACAATAATCACTAGTGACTGACTTCAAGAGATACTTCTGGAGTTCTAGTGAGAAGCCGTTACCAGTGGAGTTCGACCAAGGTCTGTTGTGAGATGTCAGCTCACTGAAAACAATGATGTACGGTGGATCAATTTCGTGGATTAGTTGAAGTTAGACATTAACACCGTTGGATGTCGGCCGGCTCAGTGGTCTAATGGGTAAGCGCCCGCGCGCGAGACTGATAGGTCCTGGGTTCGAATCTCGCGGGGGGTGAGATCGTGGATGCGCACTGCCGAGGAGTCCCATGCTGGGACGAAACGACCGTCCAGTGCTTCCAGGTTTTCCATGGTGGTCTAGCTTCAATTGGCTCATGATTTCAACTATTGAAATTTCTAAAAACCTCCACAAAACCCCTTCTGACTCAAATATTAGTTTGAAATGTGTAACTTTTGAAAATGAACACTTGTACTAATCTAGGATTCCAATTAATATTTTGTACGTTTTACTTTGAACAGGAATACATATACAAATTATTGTGTCACAGAACTCATCATTCTTGTTTGTGACCTTTCACTAAATAAATAATTTAGCCATTCACTTCAGCAACATAAGACATTTAATATAAAACATTCAATGTTATTAAAACGTCTTGATGTAACAATTGCTATAAAATACAATGCAATATACCTGACTAAAAGTTTTAGTTTAGCTTAGAATAGTTCGTGTAAAATAAAATTCAATGTTTAATGAGACACTTTCTTCTTACGATTCTCAAAATTATTAATATGGGATTCGAAATCATAATTCAATCAAGTTCACAATATATGTTAAATAATAATCAAGATACTTGAAATTCTACGCCAAAATACCTATAACTGATATCAATACTAGAAAGTTTTCACGAATTTCTTTTCGTTAGTGTACTTTTAGCCCAGAGACAAAAACATAAAGAGAAAATAGAAAACTTCAATTGTTGACTGTTTACAAGTATCTGCATGGCATTCCGGGATCGGTGGTCAAAGATAGACCTATTAATTAGAGCCTTAAGTTATCGATTAGTTACTGACCTGCGAAAATATTTTCCTTATCACATTTTTCATGTAAATGATTCGTTGATACGCACGTTTGTAGTTCTATAGATTGTATTTAAGTAATTATCTTTTGTTGAAGCTTATATGCTATCAACTCATGGTTAACTTATTAGCCCTCAAAATACATAAAATGAAAATTATTATCGCTCACCTTTAAGTCTTTTGTCTTTTTATTTCAAGAAATGAAAAAAATCGATTATTTCCTTGAATATCAACTCAACTTTGTATGTCATCATCGTAAACTATTTCATTACACCTACTAGTCTGGTTCAACGTTCTCTAACTTATCAGATGATAAGTAGAATTTTGATTTCTACCATCAGACCCTATTTTGTCATAATACGAGGTTATTATAGTCATTCTAGTATTATAAGATGGTGATTATTTATTACATTCTATTCATACAGAAAATTTCGCTGTCGTCAATACAAAGTGACGGGTCACAAAGAAGAATACAGTTGAACTTTTCAACTTAACACATTTAGATTGAAATTCAAGCTTGGCACCGAACTGTTTAGGCGCTTTCTGAGTTCATCAATAACAAATCATCCTAAATTCAAGGATGAAGGGAAGTTCGTAACAATAATATCATTCAAATTGCTTGAAAATACATTTAGCACCAAATATCACTATTAAATCAAATAATCTTTGGCGACCACTCAATAAACTGTATTAAAAAGACTATTTAAACAGATATTTGTTCTTCTGATGGTTACCTTCAGTTAACGAACAACATTACGGTTGTGCGTTTCTTCATGAAACTGCTTTTTCTAGTACATTTTGTCTTCGGTTATAAATCTAAGGTATCTGAAGTTTGATCAGTCTGTTTATCTTCAAATGAATTACATACCACTGATCCACTGTGCGTAATCCAAACAACACTCTGTTTTTCTGAAGATCATCCTGACAAAATCCCCAAACAGTAAAACTTGGGATGATCAATAAATTATTTTTCTTTACTGAAAGTTGATGAACGACTTCAAGGCAGCCATCAACAAAATATTGTGGTTCCAATTACTTAAACTGAGAAACCTTCCATTTCTGTTTAATGATACGTTAAGTGCGCAGCTTACTTTCCGAGTCACACTCGGTTTTAAATAGCATTATTATTCACTTTCTTGTCTGACTTGTTTATACGTCAAAATAGTGGCTCTTAATTCGCAAAACCGGATCTTGTTGACATAGCTGAATCAGATGTACAAAAGTCAGCATTTATAGCTGTAATCAAAGCACCCATTGTCTACGTTGCACAATGACTTTGTACGCTGGACTAACTTTAGACTATTTACTCTAAACAACTGACATTGGGTTTTACTTCTAAATACAGTGAAATATAACTGGAGAGTTGTTTATTTACAAGTCTGATGAAATTGACTTGAGGCAATCTTAACACACAAATAATGGTGAAGACCGACAGAATTCTAATTTCGTGAAATAATTTAACTTACCTCTTTCATTCACATCTAAATTGTACCAATATGTTTATAATATAAATTTTATTTCTCAAATATTCTGTATGTATTGTATACAAATTACATGCTTTACTAGTTTAATTTCAGGGACTCTACAAATCCTTTAGAATTAACCGATAACTGTACCCCAATAAACAAAGAAGCTATTCGAAAACCAAGAAAATAACTGTGTTTGCAGGATTGTTTGTGAAAATCCCTCCAACTCTACCTCTTATGTAGGTATCAACATCTCTCTTTCTTTATACTTTAATAATCAAAGATGCATTTTATCGGTTGCCATGGATTTACCAACATCAAGCTTATTTAACAGACCAGAGATATCGTGTTCTTCACAAGTCACAGTGTTCGAAGTGAGCATGGAGTGTTTAGATGAACAGAAAGGGAGGGCACCACCACAGTGCACACATTGCTAACGTAATTGGAAAATAACTGTGCTTTACAATAATCGTCTTCCACTAATGATGCAGTACTACTGTCTCCCCATAAAGTTGAGGTGTTGTCTCTTCTATTAGTTTATTGGTTTATGTACGAATAAAAAGGATTAGAGTACTCTATAGAGCCCTTAATAAGCTTCATTCTATAACAATTTCTAGACATATGGAGCCTCAAAGCACAAGTAATCCGAGTTTTCCGAAATTGAGAATTTATCTCATCGGTACTCAGTAACGTAAATCCTTCCCGCATACTTCTCCTCTTATGCAGAAGGGAGTGATTCTCCCTGTTACGAACTGCCACTCATCTCTTGACACTTGAATAGTTCATATTTTCCAATGACTTAGCAACTTGAGGCTTTATAGCATCACTGCACAATGTTTGTGCTACTAGTTGACTATCTGAGGTTAAGAGATCGAAATACCTGGTTGCTAGCCAACAGCATTGTGTTTCTTATTTGGTGGAAACTCAAATCTTCTTTGACAAGCAACTAACTTTGATTTATAACGGGTTATCTAATTGATGTATTTCAGATTTGATTGTATAGGTTTTGTCAGATAACTCAGAGGATTGTATAGCTTAGTGGTCCTATCATTTTAGGTATCTTGCGTAACTCATACTTACAATACTGGTGATCAGGACCATATCCAACTCATCGATCTTGTTTGATTGTATTTGTGGGAAAGGATGAGAATCATACGCTTCCTTGGATGCTATGCAGGACCCAAATTGCATCAAAATAATGTTATCTATTCCCTTTAAAACATTTTATCATCCAAACATAAAGTACGTAATTGACAATTACTAAGTGCTCACCTGATAATTCTTTCTCTGTTTGTTTGAACAATTAAAGAATCAAAATTCAGAAAACACTTTGAACATAAACTTAACTTTTATAAATAACTTTCTTTTATGAAAAGTTGAAATTGATAGGCAAATTCGAATGTAAAAGAAATTAATACTACTATATACTCTTCTAACCATCAAATATATCATAAATTTACAAACACTTCTAGACAGTTAAATGTGATCTATTTTTTAGTAAACTTCTCGGTACTGTTTCAAAATATTTTGCTTATTAAGTATCGGATCGTAATGAGAATTAAATGCAAGTCTTATGTCATCAGTTTATCTATCGTTATGTTGAAATAGGATTGTAGAGATATTTCAACTTCATACAATGAGTCTACATTATGTTGTGGATTCATTAGATTTGATGGAGTAGTAATTAACAGATTACATACTCAGTATTGTACCTTAAACGAATATTTTCGAAATATTTTATTTTAGAGATTATTTCGTTTATAAATAAAGTGTTGAATAGTAATAGAGACACTTGTATTTATCATTACTGCTGTTCGAGCGAGTCTGATTTAGTGGTAGATCAATTCAAAACTATAAATATTTAGGCAAAGTATAAAGTCAGAAATGGTCCATTTTAATTCTAATTGACATTTATATTATTTTTAAACGGTCACATTTGTGGACCTGAACCTTCGTAACTGTTAAAATAACATGATAATTTTTTTAATATAAATGCAAATTAATGCAATTTAGTAATGAAAGGAGCTTACTGTAAACTATCAGAACAGAAATATGACGGATGATTGAGATATATTTTGAAATAATTTGTAAAATAGATAGATTCACATACTGAAATAAGCACAGACTGATTGTAACCAGGGTTTGAGCTCCCTCTTTTTGCCCAGAAGCCAAGTATATATGGAGAATTCTTCATTTTAATAATTCAAATAATTTATATGATACAAATTTGGAATAAATAGTTCTTGTGAATCCAATGACATCATCACTACTATCCATATGGAAGAAGATGAGTTAATAGCAAGTTCCGATGTTTTCTCTTTGTTCACTAATGTTCCTTTTAGGAAGGCTTTAGATACTGTGTATAATCTCTTGGATTTTGACACAGCTAAAAAAGAGATGTTCATTAGGTCCTTTATACATTACCAAAGCTATGGATCTATGCTTGCATTAAAACTTTCTCAGTTTTCGAGGAGAATTTTACAGACAAATGGGTGTGGTTATAGAATCACTAGTTTCTCCAATTGTTGCTCATGCATTTATTGCAAACAATTACAGTTTCTAAGTGTTCCCTTCCACTAAAGCTCTGGTTGAATTACGTAGATGATACATTTGTTATCATAAAACGAAATGTTTAAAAACGTCATCAGATTCACTAGGGGGGATCAAATCCATTGAACACAAGTTACCTCTTCTTGACTGTTTGGTTGAAAGGAATTGTAGTGATTTTTCAAAAAATTAATGTATTCCGAAAGCAAACATATTCTTGGAAATTTCTCGATTACAAGTCAACACATGCACATTCCACCAAAGTAACAGAGGCCAAGAATTTGATAAACAGCGTCCAGAAACTCATAACTGAATAGATAATATAGAAACTGAAATGAATTTAATTATATCTACTTTGATGATGAATAACTATCCGAGGGATTTTATGAAAAGAATAATTAAGAAAGAAGGCCTAAACGATTAGGTAAAAGATAAACTAAAAGGATGGATTAACACAGTAGTGGTCCCATATCGTAAAGGAATTTCAGAAGAGATTAGAAGTATCCTAAATCTCCAAAATATAAAAGTGTTCTTTCGGACAAATAATACTCTAGTACCCAAACTGGTAAGAATCAAATATTCAATGCAAAAGGAGGAACAACAAACTCGTGTAATGTAGTGATTTTAATGCTATACATGTGTGTGAAACAACACGACAACTGAATACGAGTGTGAAAGAACACAAACTTTGCTTAAAGCACATTTATAAATCATCAGATGATATGAAAAAGTTCGAAAGCAGATCACTGATTACATTACACTCAACATAGTCGGGCCATACAATTGGTTTCAGTAGCACAAGAATTCCACGAAAAATTTTAGTTCTTACAAATAGAGACTAATAGCCAAAGGGATAAATCCAAACAGATTGTATGCGTGACACAGAATACAATTAGCTGTCTCATGAAAACTAATAATTATTGAGTAAACCTGAACTATTTATCCCATTTATTATATCACTTTTTGTCTGAACAATAACAATTACATGCAACTATTCTAATCAGTTGGTTTATCTTAATATATGGTGAACAATTACCTTGAACAACAAATAACACAAACATCATCTCTGCTTATAACGCTTGCGACTTAAGATGAAATTGAAGCAATCCACACAGAATGCAAATATGCCAACATCAGACTGATCAATTACAGAGCTAAACATCAATGAGAAGATTCAACAACCAATACAAAATTGAATCCATTCATTAATTTTTATTTTATCTATTTATCTTTATTCTATGCGTGCTGTAATGTATCTGGCTCTTATTACACATAATAATTGTATGTTTTCTTCAAAAACCCACCAGTCAGAGGTGGTAAATAGTCAATGAAATTTCTTCTCACACCTCAGATCCACTTACGAGTACACACAATCTGTTATCTTAACACACATTTCGTTACACACCACATGTTTCAAACATACTACAGAAAATACTTACTTCAAACATTGCTAACATGAGTGGACGACCCATTTAGTATACAGTTAACCGGACAAACGTGTACCCAGTTATATTCGACAATTTTGATGTTTATTTACATTTTCTCGAAAAATCTTGAACCAGACTGACAAGCAAAACGCTGAACATACTTAAAATTCAATCTATGAGGTTTTACAAATACATTCTTGTTCCTTAATATCTGACTAACTCGAAACCTAAATACTGAAAATATTCGTTCAAATTTAGACTAAAGTTCTTATGTAATAAGGCACTTGTTGAGAATCTCAAAGGTATTATTTATTGATATGAAATTCGTTGTGGGTTTTATTCATAGTTAAAGTAGTCATGATTCTTCAATAATATTAATATTCCAGTTTGTTCCCTGATAATTTTAAGTATTTATTTATTACATTTTAGACTATCAAGCAAGTGATTTAAAACATTGTAAACTGATGTTGGAAGTGATTTTTCAAGATATTCCTTGATAAACTAGAGCATCACTCAAGGAGTATGATTTACAACAAGAATGATGTGTGTAATATTAAAAAAAATGGATATGGATGAAAAATTGTATCACAGCAGTTTCACTTACGCTTTGTAATATTACCTAAAATATAATGTTAAATCAACTCTTTCTATTGTTTTGACATATATAATCCATAAACCCATAAAAATTCCCTCAATGTTTCAGCTGTGTGGAAAAACCGTTCATACATTTCGGTAAGAAACCATTTTTACCTTGGATTTCATGATAGTGGGTATTCAGAGATGAATAAAGAATACACCTGTTGTACGGTTTAAGTTTTTCCTGAAAGTTCAAAAAGCTTGAGTTAACTGAAGTATGTTAGGACAAGAAAAAGCGCTAGATCATGTTTCAATTCTGTGTAATATATTCTTTAGTATAACAGTCTTTTCAGTTTACTGTGACGTCTATTCAATGTGCCAGTCTCTTTACATCAGTTTACTGTATTATTCATGCACCACAATATTCAGTAGATTTTTATGTTGATTCAGGGAAAAATCACTTGATGACTAATCATCAAATCACCGTAAGAATCTATGTACAAGCAAGTTTATGTAGAAGAGTTACAAAATGTTTGGACTATGAATAAAATCTTTATTCGCCCTCAATTTTGCATTCTCTCTTGTTCTTGTAAATGTCAGTTTGCAGTTTTCAAGTAACAGTGAACAAGATATGACCTGAAAAGATTTATTTACGTGAAAAAAATCCGATGTACTTTACAATACAGGGTATCAGGATAGAATAAATAAATAAATAACGACAGTGGATAACTAAACAACTGTATCAAAACAAGAAGTTTCCACCAGAACGAAGCAGTATGAATGCTTGATTTTTACAGTTCCGGACTACGATTGACGTGTGGAACTGCCTATCTCTTCCTCTTTACATCCCATAGAAATGAATGAGTTTTTGTCTCGTATTGATTGTTGGTCTGTAGGTAATGGTCTCATACTTAATCCGTCTAAATGTCAAGCTGTTAACTTTAGCATGAGACGTGAACGGAATCTAAACACCATTTTGAGATCCCATAGTGCTTGTACCATCGGAGACTCTTTGATAAACTCAGTGTCGAAGGTCAATTATCTTGGTGTCACCTTTTCCTCTGATCTGTCTTGGTCTTCCCACGTTTTATCGTTATCGAAGAAGATTTTCCGTCTGACCTACTACATAAAGAGACTGCATGCTCTTGGAATTACTCGTCATTTACTCTTACAATTTGTCAATTCTTGCATATTACCTATTATTCTTTACTGTTCTCCATTATTCTTTCCCGAGCTTTTGAGAAAAGACTTTGCTGTATTGCGAAGAGTGCTGAAGGCAGTTAGCAAGGTGTGTGGTGAATCTTCCGAGGTCATAATTAATATGGTTGTGGATAGACATTTAAAATCATGCAAACTCCTGGCAGGTGTCATTTTATCAGATACTAACCATCCCCTTCACTCTTATCTTTCTCCTTGTATATCTTCTGATAGAACGAGACGTAATTACATTAAAATCCATGCACGCAAGGAAAAGTATAAAAGTTCTATAATACCTTATCTAGCAAATATACTCTGTGACGAACAGGTTGTTAGAGTTAACCTAGCCAATAACCTGCATTCTTAACATGACTTTAATTTTAAATGTTGTACTGTTTTTCAGATTTTTTTAAAAAAAATTTTTTTGTCTTTGTTTCTGTTTTCTGTGTAAGAAACTTGTTGGAATACCCTGTGCTGAGAATTCTATATTGTACCGAAATATGATATTGAATAAAGTCATTAATAATAATAATAATAATAATAATAATAATAATAATAAAACAGAGCAGTCACAGTCATGTCTACAGTGGAAGTGGACGACTCATACAGACAAGACATACCTGTCACGTCGAAAGACGGTAGTGCAAGTATAATAGCAATAACTAAAGGTTGGAGACTTCACAGGAGAAATATTAACGGAAGATCCAAGGGAAAAATATAAAACTAACAGTAACATGAACGTCAACCACACAGCCACCTAAAGAGAACCTAATCCTTATGAGGGGGGACAACTAACTTCTCGGTTGACTCCTCACAAAGACCTACCAACATTTAACCAACTAAGGAGAGGAAGGCGTTAGAAATGAGTAATTATGTGACTCTGTAAATTAATTACGTTGGTTGGCTTTAGAAGTATAATTTTATTATATGGACTGGGTTTCTACTTTATTTTGTCAAATAATTGATGTATAGTACTAATCAATTAAATTTATTTAAACTTTACTGTTGATCAGTATAACTGAATATTCAAAGCTCAAGGTATTCAGATATGGTTTTGACCCGCTTTCGGTGCATAATAAATTTTCATGTGTTATAATTGTCTTCTTCCTGAAGTTGATTATAATACCGTTTTGTTCGATTGTAATAATATTCAACATAGTTATAAACAATGAATGTAAAATTTAAACTATCGTGAAGCGAAGAAGACAATAATAATAATAATAATAATAATAATAATAATAATAATAATAATAATAATAAAAGTTTAAAATAGCTTTTCACTTACTCGGAACTTCGGACGCTGAAAAAATAAGGTCGCTGATTAGTTTATTCACTTAGTAATCTTAATTGTCGCGTTTTATAACCCACTACTGATTTTTGCAATGTACAACTTATTTATCGTTCTGTAAAACTTATTTGAGTTACTTTTTTCAGTAAATTTTGATGACGGATATGTTATTCGTCAGGTTTTAATTATCGCATGAAAATTGAAAAATAAACAAGATTAATGGGAAAACTTTTACACAGAAGTAAAAAAAGAGGCGTTTAGACTGATTATGGATTCACTACTTGTCTTCTAGTATTTTTAAAGAAACCCAGTCAGAAAAATTTCAATTTAAGAAATTGTGCACGACGCTGAACATCGTGTAATTCGGTAAAGCTATAAACAACAATTTCCACTCTTCCTTTTGTAATGTCGAGGCAGAAAGATTAAGTACCAAGACTAGACGCCTCGTTTAAAGTGTTTTAGTGTGAATGCTCCTATGAAGCAAGTAACATTATCCGGTATTCTCAGAATGTACAAATGCATCAACTTTAAAATGCTATTGTGTATGCAATTTTTAATGGATAACTATGTAATTCAATACTATACTTGATTGTGCATTGTATTATTTACTTTATTTACGATTGTGATCGATTGTATTACATGCACAATAGAATAATCAATTTTCTGTTCGAAAAACTGCTTACACTAAAATATTAATTTCAGTGAACCAGATCAACAGTTCACAAATGTTACGCGATCAATTAAATACGTATCTTTTAATAACTTAATAATTACAGGAATAAGGAAAAAGCATTATAATCAAAGATAGATAGTGGCTAGCAGTGGGATCCAGAACACGAGTTTCGTCTTATTTTGGACTCAACAGCTGAATGTACCTGCATCTCAGGGCTAATGTTCACTCTGGGACTCGAACCCGGTACCGTTCGCTTCAAACGCCATCGCGTTATCCACTTAACTATTGAGTTCGGATAGCCGCCTGCTTGTGCAATGTGGTGAAGTTAAAATTCACTTGGTTTTTTTTACTGGTCAATCGCAGTCCTAAACATCAAGTGGAAAATTCAAGTAAAAATACCAAGTGAATTTATGAGGAAAAAGCGTTATTTAGCTACTTATGATTAGAAGATTTCAAAATAAACACTTATTATCTAAATGTGTTTTTGATTTCGAAATAGTCATATTTATTATCAATTCAAACCTATTTGTATTGCACTGAATAAGTATTTTTCTGTAATGTAAACATAATAACTTACCTTTTATTGATTCATTAAGTAGGCAAATCAATATTATAATTCCAAGGGCAGATCCCATAGTTAATTACTGATCGTTCTCACAAACAAATACTAATAATCTATATTAAACTCGTCTTTATATTCTTCTTGAAAGACTGAAATTTCATAATAAAAACATTAACGTATCAAATTCCTTATATAATTTTATTTATTGATTTGCTTTGTTTAAACAAGTTAATAATATCATAACCGATCAGTAAATACATCGGTCTGTAAAGCATTTTATTGGTCATCATAGCAAACTTAAGAAGAAATGAAGATTCTGAACATTACTGTTATTTTATTTTTAGATTATGTCACTATTAACTCCGCCTGGAGTCCCTCCGGGGGCTACTGTCGGTCCCAAGCCCAGATAAAGGAGAAGGGTTGAGCATGGGGTTAACGACTCCATCCCGTAGAAAACTAACCCTCTAAAAAAACGCTAAGTGTTATATCTTGAAAAAGCTGATTTTTCGATATACCGCGAATAACTGAACACTAGAACACCAAAACCCTTCCAAGTCGCAATAAGAAGACAGAAGACTAACTAAAGGAATATTATTCCAAACAGTGTCAAACATAGTACGAAAATGTCAGGTATTTATAGATTTAGTGAGAACGAAATCATCATTACAGTCTTCCAATCCGCGTACAGGGGGTTATTAGCATTATCCAATGGGGAAGCTACACGTTGGAATTCAAGAACATTCCTCCGAAAGGTGATTGGATGGGACGTCTTCGGCTCCTTCTGAGCCTCTTACAGCTTCCTCGAGTTCACCGGTGGTCCGTCGTCACACTAACCAAAAAACATTATTCAAGCCATTTAAACTCTGCCCTGGGAGTCAGAAGGTCTTCATTTAGAAGAACTATGACGCCTCATGATGAAAGCCGAGTTCCTTCGGAAGTCACGAGGCTGTTGCACCTTCTGACAACCAGAGCAACTATTTATTTAGGTGAATGGAATACTTTTACAATTTGGGAGACCGGGAGAGTCTTCTGAATTGCTGCAGAAATTATGAGATACAACCTAGAGGTGCCTGGGATCAGTGAAACACATTGGACGCAAGTTGGACAACAACGACTAACTACAGCAGAGCTCCTGTTATACTCCGGCCATGATGAAAAAAATGCCCCACATACACAAGGAGTTGCACTGATGCTGTCCAAACAAGCACAAAAGACACTTATAGGATGGGAATCTCATGGACCAAGGATCATCAAAGCCTCCTTCAAAACAAAGAAAGAGGGCATTTCAATGAACGTCATCCAATGCTATGCGCCTAGCAACGATTACAATGAAGACGCTAAAGATCAATTCTACAATAGGCTGCAGTCAATCGCCGAGAAGTGCCCAACAAAGGACCTGACCATTCTGATGGGAGATTTCAATGCCAAGGTTGGAACGGACAACACTGGATATGAAGACATCATGGGACGACACGAACTGGGAGAAAGAAACGAAAACGGTGAGAGATTTGCAAATCTATGTGCCTTCAATAAACTGGTCATAGGCGGCACCATATTCCCACATAAACGCACACACAAAACCACATGGACTTCACCGGATCACACTACAAAAAACCAAATCGACCATATTTGCATCAACAAAACGTTCAGGAGGACTAAAGAGGACGTGCTAACGAAGAGCGGAGCTGATATAGCATCAGATCATCACTTGCTGGTCTCCAAGATGAAATTGAAACTCAAGAAGCACTGGACAATGGGGCGGACAATATCACAAAAGTTCAATACGGCCTTTCTTCGAGATACTGACAAACTCAATAAATTCAAGATAGTCCTCAGCAATAAGTTCCAGGCCTTTCATGATCTACTCAATGGAGAAGAAACTACTGTGGAGAGCAACTGGAAGGGGATCAAAGAGGCAATCAATTCAACTTGTCATGAGGTCCTGGGTCACAAGAAGCACCATCACAAAGAAAGGATCACTGTTGATACACTGGATAAGATTCAAGAAAGGAGGAACAAGAATGTAGCAATCAAAACCAGTCGAACAAGAGCAGAAAAAGCCAAGGCACAAGCTGAATACACAGAAGTAAACAAACAAGTGAAGAAGAGCATCAGAACCGACAAACGTAAATATGTGGAAGATTTAGCAACGACGGCGGTAAAGGCTGCAAGAGAAGGAAACATGAGACAATTGTATGACACGACAAAGAAACTCTCTGGAAATCGCCGCAAACCAGAACGACCAGTGAAAAGCAAGGAAGGCAAGGTAATCACCAACATTGAAGAGCAACAAAACAGGTGGGTAGAACACTTCAAAGAACTGTTGAATCGACTAGCTACACTGAACCCACCCAACATCGAAGCAGCACCCACGGACCTCCCAATCGATGTTGGCACACCAACAATTGAAGAAATCAGCATGGCCATCAGACAAATCAAGAGTGGCAAAGCAGCAGGACCGGACAACATCCCAGCAGAGGCACTAAAAGCAGACGTAGCGGCGACTGCAAGGATACTCCACATTCTCTTCAATAAGATTTGGGATAAGGAACAAGTACCAAAAGACTGGAAAGAAGGACTTCTGATCAAAATACCGAAGAAAGGCGATCTCAGCAAGTGTGATAACTACAGGGGCATCACTCTTCTCTCAATACCAGGAAAAGTCTTCAACAGGGTATTGTTAAACAGGATGAAGGACTGCGTAGATGCCCAACTTCGTGACCAACAGGCTGGATTCCGTAAGGACAGACCGTGTTCAGACCAAATCGCGAATCTACGGATCATTGTGGAACAGTCAATTGAATGGAATTCATCACTCTACATCAACTTCATTGAATACGAAAAGGTATTTGATAGCGTGGACAGAACAACACTATGGAAACTTCTTCGACACTACGGCGTGCCTCAGAAGATAGTCAATATCATACGGAATTCCTATGATGGATTACACTGCAAAATCGTGCATGGAGGACAGTTGACAAAGTCGTTCGAAGTGAAGACCGGTGTTAGGCAAGGTTGCTTACTCTCACCCTTTCTCTTTCTCCTGCTGATCGACTGGATCATGAAAACGTCAACGTCCGAAGGAAAGCGCGGGATACAATGGACATCTAAGATGCAGTTGGATGATCTAGACTTCGCAGACGATCTGAACCTTCTATCACAAACGCAACAACAGATGCAGGAGAAGACAAACAGTGTGGCAGCAGCCTCAGCAGCAATAGGTCTCAATATACACAAATGGAAAAGCAAGATTCTCCTATACAACACAGAATGCACCAATCCATTCACAATTGACGGAGAAGATTTGTAAGATGTAAAAACCTTTACATATTTGGGCAGCATCATTGATGAAAATGGTGGATTTGATGCAGATGTGAAAGCGAGGATCGTTAAAGGAAGAACAGCATATTTACAACTGAAGAACATCTGGAACTCAAAGCAACTGTCAACCAACACCAAGGTCAGGATTTTCAATACAAATGTCAAGACCGTTCTGCTGTATGGGGCGGAAACCTGGAGAACTACGAAAGCCATCATCCAGAAAATACAGGTGTTTATTAACAATTGTCTACGCAAAATACTTCAGATCCATTGGCCGGACACTATTAGCAACAACGTACTGTGGGAGAGAACAAACCAGATCCCAGAGGTGGAAGAAATTAGGAAGAAGCCCTGGAAGTGGTTAGGACACACATTGAGGAAAGCACCGAACTGCGTCACAAGACAAGCCCTTACGTGGAATCCTGAAGGCCAAAGGAGAAGAGGAAAACCAAAGAACATGAGAAAAATCAACAAGAATTGGATTGAATTAGAAAAGAAGGCCCAGGACAGAGTGTGTTGGAGAATGTTGGTCGGTGTGTAAGTAAGTAAGTAATTTACATCACTATTATTTTACACAAAGTAAAGGAACTTTTCATAATTAACTAACAGTTGTTTTAATGAAACATAGTAACTGATAGAATTAAAACACTTAATGTTATTTATGGTATTTTATCATTGTTTACTAAAACAATTTGAACTCGTCTTGTGGACATATAATACACTTTATGTCACAAATAGAATAACCTTATTTATTGTATTTAAAAGTTGTCAGTAATTATGTTTCTTTTACATCGACAGTAAACTTGAAAAATAAACTTAACAGTTTTCAAATTCATTTGGATCTTCATACCTTTTATTCTTCACTATTTTTGTACTTACAATTCACCTAATTATTTGTATATATCCATAGATACCTCAGCCAACTGTATAAATTTAACATAATAATCTAATGTTTGTTCTACTTTGAATGTTGAGATAATTGTTTATCATTTTGTATTATCTTCATTGCTCTTATTACAACTAATTGTCATTTTCTAATTATCACTTTTAAATGTTTTAATTTTAATTTTATATACTTCTATTTGTGTGATCATTATCTTTAACGCTAACTCACAAATTAACTGAATTAGTTAAATGTTTGACATGCTGTAAACAATGCCATAAAAGTATTAGTAATAATAATTTAGGTACCTATTTAACTAGCATAAGAAGGAGCATCTGTGTTTTTTCAAGCACAACAATAGACCAAGACTAATACGGGTTGTATTTAGCTCCAGGGATTTTGAGAAACATTTGGAGATACCTTCTGAAAAGATTAATATATATGAAATAAATCCTCTGCTCAGACTGTTACTTTACGTGATCAACTGCCTATCAACATCTACCTTCACGATTATCATATCTTCATATAACTGGTATTCTCTTTGCCACTTTACATATGTATGGATATGAAGGACTAGAAACCTGTTTAGTACCATGGAACTTTATTATTTATGTGCATACTACGTACCAAATACGTATACACAGTCATATATATATATACAAAAGCTCAATCTTGCAGCATCTAGTTGATCCCTACTACTTTGCTTCACCAGAGGCCTTCTTCCACGACACAATCCATTCGTATAACTTGTTTATGTTCTCTAGAATTACCGTTGAAATATAGTTTTCTTTGGTAAGAAACAAGAATCAATAAACTTCTTTTAGATCAGAAAGGAAAGATTTACCATGTTCAAAGAGTGAGCACGTGTCATTGATGAATAGGAGAAAGATTAATGGACTTGTAGTGACTCACATTTATCACGAGAACACGACTGGTTTAATAAAAACAATTATTATTATAACCA